TTTTTTTGCAAATTTGTTTTTGGACTTAGAGCTAGTGTTTAATTTAGTTCCTCTGTGTAACTGAGTTGAGGTCAGAACAGGACAGCAGTTATAACCCGAGTGTGTATAAATTTCCCGCATGTGAAGCAGATCAAAGGTAATTTGATCAAGTTCAGGAAAGTGAATTTCACTTCCTGTAATCTATCTGATAATTAATATGGCATTCCTGATAGATGCGTCAACACTTATAAGAATATGAATGATTTTACTGATTCAAATCCTCCAATACATTTTTCACTAGATTCTAGATTTGTCTGTTTCAGCTCTTACAATCGGTTTTACATGAAACGTTCTCCATAATGTCATGTTTTTATGGCTGTGGAAATAGTTGAATTTGTCCGTGTTAATCTACATTTGTTCATATTTCCTCCAAAATTCCTTTTGACTTGGTTGTTTTAAGTAAAACTTGAATAATTTGGCTACAGAAGCAAAGCTTCTACTGATGGAGTTGCTGGTGGAGCTGGCAGAGTTTAAGAGCTGAAGTCAGATGGTCTTTACTGAAGGAGCAGCATGTTGTTAAGATCAGTTCATGAACTGGTTCTGTTGGACGTTTTTAACCCGTATCCCAATGGCTTCATCTCACATTTTATCTTTCTTTCAGACTAAACGGCTGCAGGTTGTCAGAGATCAGCTGTGCTTCTCTGGTCTCGGCTCTTAAGTCCAACCCTTCCCATCTGACAGAACTGGACCTGAGCTACAACAACCTGAAGGAGTCAGATGTTCAGCAGCTGAAGGATCTTGTAAAGATTCTGAGGTCAGTAGATGACTGGAGTGAGTTCAGCTCTCAGCAATAATGAACTAAACCCTGCTAGTATCAAATCAAAAATCCAGTGTTTCTAGTAGAGCTGCTGCTTCTCAGTGAGAGGGGAATGGTGAGAGACTTCTTGAGTGGACACAATACACAACAATCAGCCAATCTGATGTTTGTAGCTTGTTGTGGTACCTGTGTTTGTGTTGATGTGAAAATAACTGTTTTTGTGTTCATCTTTCTTGGAAATAATCAACCTTCCAACACGGTTGATTGAGACAGTGATGCTCATTCATCAAACCCTGGTAGCATCAGATCTTAGTTTCATCCAGATATGTTCCATATTTATGAACGTGAGTGAAACCTGCAGAGGAAGCAGACTTAAGACTGGAAGTGTGTGCAGGCGTATGAGCTTGAAGCTCAGTGTGTTTACTCAGGCATGTTAAAATGAGAGAAAAAAGAAAGCTGTCTCCACTCCAAAGCTGCTCTCTGAGCAGGAAAGAAGTCCTTGCTGCTCTTTCTACTGGATATGATTCATCACTAACCAACAGCTGATGGAGAGAGAGGCTGGAAACACTCATTGATTTCCTCTGCTGTTCCTTTTCTCTGCAGGTGGGAACCATCTTTGTTAAGGGAGAGAAGCTGAACTGTTTCCTGATGATGAAGCTGCAGCAGTTTAAGTTTAAAGAGTGTCGAACTAACTGATCTTCAGATTTCCCCCTTCATTAAAGAAATTAACAGTAGGATAATATTTCTGTATCTAATCATGTAATCATGGAAAACTTGTAATTTTGGTAAGTTGATCAAAACTACATGGGCTGTAGGAGAGACTGTGGTCATTTTTCATTTTTAGGATCACTACAAAAAGGCAATCTTAGTCTAATTGCCAAAATGTATATCTGCATGTATTATTGGGATATTGTGCTTCTCTTTAAGCAATCAGAATGAATGTAAACATAGCTTTATTCATAAAATAGCATCTTCAGTAATAGTTATCTCTTGGCTCAACATAGCCTGTGTATGTTGACTTCAAGTCAATTTACCACCGGTTAGGGATCCCTATCCCTCGCTTTCCCACCGCCACAATGTTTCACTAGGGATCATAATGTTTACTTTGGGAAGTCAACATTATTTCATAATTATAATTATTGTTCCTTTCTTAATATGTTTGCAAAGTTGAGACTCCGTGGCATCTAAGAAAAATCATTTTAGCCTCCTTTTCAGAAGTGCATTTTCTTTTTCATCAGTGTATCAGTTTTTGTATGCATTGCTCCAGATCCAATAGACTTCCCCTCACTAACTTCACTGGTGGCTCCCCTACTTGTTTTGTGCTAATATACACGAGGCGTGATGTCCACTCTATAATCATGAAAATGCAGAATCTAATATTGAAGACACAGACAGCAGCTAAAATATGTGCATTAAGTGTATTTTGGTCATTTGGCTCAACCTACCCCAAAGCTATGATTTTGACTTTACCTTAGTCTCTCCTATAACTGACCATTTGAAATTGTCAGCAGTCAATAAATGATTTTTTTAACTTAAGAATTGAATGTTACAAATATCAATCATAATGTTGAACAATGATATCAATAATTGAAAGTAATGTGAGGTAAAAGGTAAATCTCTGATTTAATTAATGTTGTGATTAAATATGTATAAGATATATTAATCTGTTATGAGGGACAGGAGATGACTCAGATGTGGCATGAGTGGAAAAGATGTTTACTGGGACAGAGAGACATGAGGGGGTCATGATAAGATATGACATGAGTTTAAAGAGGACGTTCATTCGATGGCAGGGACCATGCACCTGGAAGCAATGGGAAGGTCACTAGATTTTGCAAAGATGTCCAGACTAGCTCTAGTGTGATCCAAAGATGGGCAAATAGACAAAAGGTTACAGAACTACAAAAGAGGGACTCCAGACAGGGTGTAATGGGGAAACCAGTTATGCTTCCAGACAGCAGACACACAATCCAGGTTCAGAGACGCTCATGAAGACACACAGGAAACATGTCCTAATAAGGACAAAGAATGAGTTTAGGTTCCAGAAGATCATAGAAACATGTTAGGCTTAGAGGGCATATAAGAGCTCTCTTTGGAAACATCCAGTGTTGTGTCTTGGGGACAGTCTTCATGTTCACATCAGGAGGTGAGCTGGTGAAGAACTAACCACCAAGGTTTGAGGATCTAAATCAGACTGAGTAAGTGCATCTCTGACGAGGCCAACTCACTAGCCAAGGGTTGAAGCTTAAAATTTTAGAATTACTCTCCAGACTGCTGCTTCATGCTGGGTTTCTTCTTTTTGTTGCATACAACATTTTTCATAGTTTCTGTCAAGAACAAGCTCAATGGGTTTTAATTGGATTATTGGGGCCACATCTACCCACATTGGAGAAAATTGGATTATACCATGTTTTACACACAATGTGGCATAAGCCTCTCTCTCTCTCCTTGTCAATTTTTTACATCTAAAAAGTTCACTCAGCCACAGTTTTAGGGCAAAATAATTAAACTGAGTTCAACTGTTTTTGCTACTTATTTTCTTTTTCTGATTTGCTAATTGTGTTCTGTACTTGTTGGCTTTGTAATTAAAGAGTGGGTGAAAAATAGAAAAAGTTGTGGAAATGTCATTATTGAGATTGTGACCATTAAGGATTCTCTCTAGTACTAAAAGTCTGGTTACATGAGCTCAACAAAATTTGTCATACATTTTCAGGCCTTGGTCCAGAATGTATAAAAACAAAACCCTTGTCCAAATTTCTGAAACTAATTCAGCCCAATTTCAAAGTGCAAGTTGTATGAGAGGAGAAGCTGCCATTACTGGTAGTGGTGTCCCATCAGTCCGCTACCAGGTTACACATGCCAATACTCCAAACCGATGCCACTGTTCTGCTGGACTTTGCTCCTTGGTTGTGCTGCGGTGCAACTCAAAGGGTAAACTACACTTCAAACTTCAAAAGGTAGTGGGGTAATGCATCAATAAGGCACTTGCTGCTCCTAAAAAAAAAAAAAACTGAGAAGTTAAATGGCATGAGAGGGAAAAAATGTTTACATAATTACAGTTTTAAAAAATTCTGGTATATGGATTTCATTTTTCATTTCAGCAAATGATTTAATGGACATATGAATAACTGATCAATAGCTAAAAGAAAAAAAAAGTAAATTAATTAAATGTACAATAAAAATCTGAAAATATATTTTGATGGTTGATTAAAAATGTTCAAATCCCGGATTGTTTGGATGATGGAGGTAGTGGATCTCATGGTCTTTTAGTCCAAAGGTGACAACATTTGAGATGCTCAGGTCGTCACTGTTCCAGGCCTCCTCATACCCCTAACCCACAACTCATATTGGGTCTTATAAAATAATAAAGGGATTTATTTATTTATAGAGAATTTATATAGTTTACATTTATAGTGTTTTATTTATTTATTATGAATCATCCAAAAGGTCAATAGGTCATGTACCAGCAAGGATTAGGATTAGGGGTCAAAGGTTAGGATTAGGCATATTGTGTAAGTGAAATAACTCAAAAACTGTAAGGGTCAGACAAGCCAAACGTGGTACATAGAGTCAGACGTCTGCTGGCTGGTGCAGATTCTGTGAAATCTTAGCAGTTGTGGATTTGATTAGCCCTGTATGTGTGCTTGGGGTGATAGTTGGATTTGTAGAGGAGAGCAGGAGAGCGGGCTTGAAATAGACTTTCATGTCTAATCTGTGTGGTGCTGAACTGTGAGCCTTTGCATATAGTTGTGTCCAGGAAGTCTACAGCTTTAACTCTGCTGGTAGGCGTCAGTGTGACTGAGTTGAAATAAAGAAGAAAAATGAACAAAAATCAGAAGGCAAATGCAATTGTAACTATATTCAAATACTCAGAGCATATTTTGAAATATACATAAAATTACAGTGTTTCTGTGAGTACATTTAGACAAAAATAGAAAGTGTAATAAAAAAA